AGTGGACAGCCTTGTCTTGTCCCTGATTTTAGAGGAATTTCATTGAGTTTCTCTCCATTTAATTTGATGTTGGCTGTCAGCTTGCTGTATATTGCTTTTATTATGTTAAGGTATGTTCCTGTTATCCCTGATCTCTCTTAGACCTTTATCATGAAGTCTACATAAGTGACCCGAAAAACTCTATCAGGGAAATCCTACAGCTAATAAACACCTTCATCAAAGTGGCAGGATACAAGATTAACTAAAAAAAATCTGTAGCCCTACTATATACAGATGATACATCTGTGGAGAAAGAAATCTGAGAAACATCACCCTTTACAATTGCCACAAACAACATAAAATACCTTGGTAACGCTAACCAAAAGAGTGAAAGACCTGTACCATAAGAATTTTGAGTCTCTAAAGAAAGAAATTAAAGAAGATACTAGAAAATGGCAGGATCTCCCATGTTCTTGGATAGGTAGGATTAACATAGTAAAAATGGCAATCTTGCCAAAAGCAATCTACAGATTCAATGTGATCCCCATCAAAATCCCAACACAATTCTTCACAGACCTTAAAAGAACAATTCTCAACTTTATATGAAAAAACAAAAGATGCAAGATAGCCAAAACAACCCTTTACAATAAAGGAACTTCTGGAGGCATCACCATCCCCGACTTCAAGCTCTATAACGGAGCTATAATCCTGAAAACAGCTTGGTATTGGCACAAAAATAGACAGGTAGACCAATGGAATAGAGTTGAAAACCCTGATATTAACACACAGACCTACGAACACCTGATTTTTTACAAAAAAGCTAAATTTATATGATAGAATAAAGAAAGCATCTTCAACAAATGGTGCTGGCATAACTGGATGCTGGCATTCAGGAGACTGAAGATAGATCAATGTCTATCGCCATGCACAAAACTTAAGTCCAAATGGATCAAAGACCTCAACATAAATCCAGCCACACTGAGCCTATTAGAAGACAAAGTGGGAAATACCCTTGAATTAATTCCTGAACATTACACCAGTAGCACAGACACTAAGGTCAACAATTGATAAATGGGACCTCCTGAAACTGAGAAGCTTCTGTAAGGACACAGTCAGAAAGACAAAACGACAGCCCACAGACTGGGAAAAGATATTCACCAACCCTACATTTGACAGAGGGCTGATCTTTAAAATTTACAAAGAACTCAAGAAGCTAGTCTCCAAAACACCAAACAATCCAATTAAAAAGTGGGGTACAGACCTAAATAGACAATTCTCAACAGAGGAATATAAAATGGCTGAAAGACACATAAGAAAATGTTCAACATCCTTAGCCATCAGAGAAATGCAAATCAAAACAACTCTGAGATACCATCTTACTCCTGTTAGAATGGCTAAAATCAAAAACAACAATGACAGTTTATGCTGGAAAGGATGTGGAGAAAGAGGAACACTCCTCCACTGTTGGTGGGAGTGCCAACTTGTACAGCCACTTTGGAAATCATTATGGCAATTCCTCAGGAAAATTGGAATCAGTCTACCCCAAGATCCAGCAATTCCACTCTTAGGCGTATACCAAAAAGAAGCACATTCATACACGGACATCTGTTCAACAATGTTCATAGCAGCACTATTTGTAATAGCCAGAACCTGGAAGCAACCCAGATGCCCATCAACTGAAGAATGGATAGAGAAAATGTGGTACATTTACACAATGGAGTACTACTCAGCAGAAATAAAAAACAATGGAATCTTGAAACTTGCAGGAAAATGGATGGAACTAGAAGAAACCATTCTGAGCTAGGTAACCCAATCACAAAAAGAAAACATGGTATGTACTTACTTGTATGTGGATTTTAGACATAGAGTAAAGGATTACCAGCCTACAATTCACACTGCCAGAGAAATTAGTAAACAAGGAAGACCCTAAGAGAGACATAATGGTCCCCTGGAGAAGGGGAAAGGGACAAGATCTCCTGAGCAAATTGGGAGCATGGGAGGAGGAGGAGGGAGCTAGGAGAATGAGAAGGGGAGAAGAGGAGGGGTGAGGAGGACATGAGGGAGCACAAAGGTTGAGTTTGGGGAAGAATAGAAGAAAACAAGAAAGGAGATACCACAATAGAGGTAGACATTTTCTGTTTACAGAGAAATCAGGCACTAGGGAAATGTCTGGAGATCTACAAAGATGACACAAGCTAACAATCTAAGCAACAGAGGAGAGGCTACCTTAAATGACCTCCCCTGAGGCTACATTAAATGAGATTGATGACTGACTTATATGCCATCCTATAGCCTTCATCCAGCAGCTGGTGGAAGCAGAAGGAGACACCCACAGCTAAACACTGAACTGAACTGGAATCCAGTTGCAGAGAAGGACAAGTGATGAGCAAAGGGGTCCAGACCAGGCTGGTGAAACTCACAGAAACAGGTGACCTGAACAACAGGGAGCTCTTGGTCCCCAGACTGATAGCTGGGATACCAGCATGGGACTGATCTAGACCCCAGGAACGTGGGTTTCAGTAAGGAGACCTCAGAAATCTACGGGACCTCCTGTAGTAGTTCAGGAGGTCCACCCTAGCATAGGTGTGGACTTTGGGAGCCCATTCCACATAGAGGGATACTCCCTGAGCCAAGACACACAGGGGTGGGCCTAGGCCCTACCCCAAAGGATATGACAGACTCTGAAGACACCCTATGGAAGGCCTCATCCTCCCTGGGGAGCAGAAAGAGTATGTGGTAGGTAGGATTTTAGTTGGGGGGGATGGTAGAGGAGGGAGAGGGAACTGGGATTGACATGTAAAACAATATTGTTTTTAATTCAAATAAAAACATCTGAAAACAAAGAACTGCGCTAATATAGATACTGTTCTATTGGCATCAATTTATGTGTCTAATAAATAACGGGATCAACACGAGTCTAGAAATAGACCCACAGATTTCAGAGAAAGACTCAAACTGAAGT